GGTACGAAAGAAATTCAACACGCGTACATACACCGCACCTCCGGTTATATGTCAACGGTTGGCTACGTACGGTGCGAAAGAAGTTCAGCATGCATACGTCTCTTTGCTCTCTTTGAAATCATCATCTTCCGATCGTGGTCGTTTATGGGGGGTTTTCTCTCATGCGTCCCGAACGTAACGTTTTACTTTCTAGCGCAAGCAAATGAAGACTCGAGGCATAAAAACAGCGGTCATCGATGCACCAGCAGGCGCTGCTGCCGTTGTAAGCTAAGACGACCACGTGCAAGGCCGGGGCAGGATGCCGTCACGATAACAGCTGATGAGAGATGAGTAGGGAGATGTGAAGAGATGAGCAGGGAGGTGGGAAGAGAAGCGGGGGGCAGGCGGCAGCAAGGGCAGACGACGTGGGAGAGGTCGGGAGGTCAGAGCCGGATTAAGGTTCTTGTCGGCCCTAGGCACTTCTGTTTCGTTCGGCTTTGATGCATCATCGATGTTTTTTTTTGCGTTAGATCGCGTAAATATGTGTCGTTAAACCCGCCACCACCCGACACAGCCAACTAGTAAGGTATTTATTTATTGAAAGCTTTCGTGACTGCAGGGATTCATATTCTTGGTTCTTTCGGTAAAGTCATGTAGAAGGGAAACAATAAAATAATAAAAATATATTGTTTTATATTTTTATTATTTAGTTTTTTTAATTATTTTATTGTTTCCCTTCTACGTGACTTTACCGAAAGAACCAAAAATAGTAAGGGTTTGTCACGTAAACAGAACGTGGCCATTTCGTCACTAGTCCAGCACCACCGCTTGTGTGTCGGAGAGCCAAGCCACAAACATTTACAATCCGAGTGTACGACGTTTCGCCAGTAACTACAACCAGCTTCATCAGGCGGCAGCCGACTTGTCTCCGATCCACCACGGGACAACAAGGCTGCTTCGTCTCCCCTTGCACCGCTCTCCGTTGAGAAGGAGATTGTGCGGAAAACACACAATTTGAGGGCGTTAAGGGGCCGTCCATAAATGACGTCACGCGATTTTGGACGATTTTTAACCCCCCCCCCTCCTTCGTCACACGGCGTCACAAAAAGTCAGACCCTCCCCCCTCAAATATGACGTCACGAAGCTCTGCCCCCCAAAAAAAATAAAACATGCTTCAAATCGCTTTAAACTATTCTCATTGTAATGCGTATTTAATGTGCCGCTGCACTCTGATTTTGTAGGAGAAAACATTTATTATGAAGTCTATTTAATGAAGTAGAACGTGTTGTCTATATTTATTTAAAGTTGCGCATTTTGATGTGACGTCACATTTCTCAAACTCCCCCTCCCCTCGTCACACATCGTCACAAATGTCTGCCCCCCCCCCCCCCCCAGGTGCGTGACGTCATTTATGGACGGTCCCTAATTGCTAATATCTCACCTTATGAAACAATAAACTATTGATAAGACTCAGCCTCTTTGTATACACACTGTGCCTATCCTTGCTATCTATATATAAATATATTGATTCCGGAAGATATCTCGGTTACATCTTTTTTTTTTATCTTACAAAAAAAACACACGGTCACATTTATTTCCGAGGCCCCTTTCGTTTTCGAAGGCCCTAGACGCGGTGCCTACCTGTGTGACCTTTGGGATAATAGGGTCCTGTAGTAGGTCACGAGTGGTCGCGAGCCCTCTGGGAAAAGGAGGGAATGGGAGTGAATGGGGGGAAGGGGAGGCATTTGCCAGCAGTGTAGAGTCATCTTTGGGACCTATCAAAATGATGAGAAAAAAAAAGAATAGGCCTTTCTGGCAATAAAACAGGTGTTGTGTTAAAATGTTCAAACACCAAATAGATTCCGACTGATGACAACAACAGACTCGCATAGAGACTCACAGGCTGGTACAGAAACCCATAGACTGGTACAGAAACCCATAGACTGGTATAGAAACCCATAGACTCGCACAGAGACACAGACTCGCACAGAGAGCCGTAGACTCGCAAAGGGAGCCATAAACCCGCGCAGAGACCCATACACTGACCTAGAAAGCCATATACCCGCACAGAAACTCATAGACTCACACAGGGAGCCATAGAACCGCAGAGACCCATACACTGACCTAGAAAGCCATATACCCGCACAGAAACTCATAGACTCACACAGAGCCATAGACTCGCACAGAGCCCCATATATTCACACAGAGCCATAGACTCGCATAGAGAGCCACAGACTCGCACAGAGAGCCATAGACTCGCATATATACCCAGAGACTCACTAAGGTAAGAAAATAATGTAAAAACATCATAGCTGGGGGGTGGGTAGAAGGGTGATGTTACAGAACGATAAGGAGCCGCACAAGATCAGAATCGTACGCTCGCGGCTTCTGTTGTGGCCGCGTTGAATGTTTGGTGCCTGCTCGTCCTGCTATCAGCGATGGTGAGCATTTACCCGGAGAAAGGAGGAAAAATTGCGGGATGGGACGGTCTCTGCGACAGATGTCGCAACCGGGTACCCGATACCTGTACCCTACCCGATAGCCGGCTACCCGTACCCGGCCGGGTACCCGGCCGGGTACGGGTAGCCGTTTGCGACCCTGGTGCGGCCGGGTACGGGTACGGGTAGGCCGTGAGTCACTGGTGAGTAACCGTTTGTCACTCATTTCCCAACGTCTTGTCTCTACTCACAATTCAAGTTCCTAGTATGAACCCACCCGCGCCTGCAACATGGCTTCATCCCAGAGGTCGTAATCGGGTACCCGATACCCGTACCCTACCCGATACCCGGCCGGGTACGGGTATCCGGGTGTCGAGTAGGGTACGGGTACCCGATTGCGACCCTGGTGCGGCCGGGTACGGGTAACGAGTAAGGAATCAAACCCCGTTTGCGACCTCTGTTCTGCGAGAAGCGGTAAACTCGTGGTTCGGCGAGTGACGGGCACGAGAAATGCCACGGAAGACGTGAAGTGCGGAGCCGGGAACGTCGGAGGTCCTGGATTAGGATTAGAGTTTCAACCACCCGAGGCTGAATTGGGTTTCCAAGACTCAGCGATTTGATCAACTGTTTCAACTTGTGATTTCAACGGGTTAGGCTCACCGAGCTATGAAGCGACCTGGCCGCAAATGATAGGTCAACGAAGTGGGCTTATCGCATGGAAATGTATCGCAAGATAGCCAAATAGTCCAAACGCGTGGTGATGTCGATTTAAAATTTGGAGGGAAAACCTCCGGAGGACCCGGAGAAAAATCCACGCGACCATGGAGAGAGAGAGAGACACGCAAACTCCAAATATACAGCAGCAGGCGTCAGGGTCTGGATCGAACCCACGACCTCCTGTAGACCAGGGGAGGTTGTTAACATCTCCTAGCCACCGTGATGATGAGAGAGACACGCAAACACCAAATATACAGCAGCAGGCATCAGGGTCTGGATCGAACCCACGACCTCCTGTAGACCAGGGGAGGTTGTTTACATCTCCGAGCCACCGTGATGATGATGAGAGACGCAAACACCAAATATACAGCAGCAGGCGTCAGGGTCTGGATCGAACCCACGACCTCCTGTAGACCAGGGGAGGTTGTTAACATCTCCGAGCCACCGTGATGATGATGAGAGAGACATGCAAACACCAAATATACAGCAGCAGGCGTCAGGGTCGGGATCTAACCCACGACCTCCTGTACACCAGGGGAGGTTGTTAACATCTCCTAGCCACCGTGATGATGATGAGAGACGCAAACACCAAATATACAGCAGCAGGCGTCAGGGTCTGGATCGAACCCACGACCTCCTGTAGACCAGGGGAGGTTGTTTATATCTCCGAGCCACCGTGATGATGATGAGAGACGCAAACACCAAATATACAGCAGCAGGCGTCAGGGTCTGGATCTAACCCACGACCTCCTGTACACCAGGGGAGGTTGTTAACATCTCCGAGCCACCGTGATGATGATGAGAGAGACATGCAAACACCAAATATACAGCAGCAGGCGTCAGGGTCTGGATCGAACCCACGACCTCCTGTAGACCAGGGGAGGTTGTTTACATCTCCGAGCCACCGTGATGATGATGAGAGACGCAAACACCAAATATACAGCAGTAGGCGTCAGGGTCTGGATCGAACCCACGACCTCCTGTAGACCAGGGGAGGTAGTTAACATCTCCCAGCCACCGTGATGATGATGAGAGAGACATGCAAACGCCAAATATACAGCAGCAGGCGTCAGGGTCTGGATCGAACCCACGACCTCCTGTATACCAGGGGAGGTTGTTAACATCTCCTAGCCACCGTGGTGATGATGAGAGAGACACGCAAACTCCAAATATACAGCAGCAGACGTCAGGGTCTGGATCTAACCCACGACCTCCTGTAGACCAGGGGAGGTAGTTAACATCTCCCAGCCACCGTGGCGCCCTTCACAAACTTGGCCTAGTCACTAATGAGTGCACGAAAAAAGCTCATTGCGAATACATTTGTTTTTTTTTTCTGCCCCGCACTAAACTTCGCAAAAATCCCAGCAGCGAGAATTAAAACGTTCAGTTGTACTGCCACGCGATGATTATCTCTGTAACGGAGCGCGTGGGAAAGTACAGCGTTCCCCGCGTGTGGTTAAGCCAATGCCGTAATTATAATATATATATATTGGGGGGGGGGGGTGGGGGGACACATTTATTGCTATAAAATAGATTTATGTTTATATGATTGTGGTTATGGTTGTACTTTATGAATCCCTAATCTCTGCCATTACATACAATGAAACAAGAAAAGGTAAAAAAAAATAAAAATAGAGCAATGTAATACAATACACTATTAGACATTATTGTAAAAAATAAATTAAACGTCCATCCCATGTGTTAGTGAACTTTTTAAGATTTTAGTTAGGAAATGGCAGGAAATTCGTTTTCAAATTTAGATTTTTTTTTCTGAGGGGGGGGGGGGACCCCCTGGAAGATTTGGTCCCCCCCAATGTTGACTCCATGGCTATGGCCTTGGGTTAAGCAATCACTTGGAATGGGATCTCAGAAGCAGTTCTGTGACAGCTTCTTCCACGAGCTGTTCTCTTCGTACAATTCGAAAACCAAAACCGCGAAGAAGACGACAATGACTGACGTTCTTGTTCCCGAGGAGCCTCGCAATAACGTGGAGCGAAGCGTCTTGACGTCGAACCAGAGTCAAGCCGAGCACGCTTCTGCCAGCTCTGCAGCACAACCGCGAACACCCAACAACAACAACGACTCGATCGCTCTGGTTCATTCGGTAAAGTCACGTAGATAGAAGAATAAGAAATAATAATAAAATGAAAGAAAACACGACGTATCGGTCGCAATACAAGCGTCCGTCTTCAGGTGTGAAAACATGATCTGCTGTTGTATTATTTTCGGCACGGGAGGGGAGAGGGGGGGGCGAGTGCCTATATAAAGCCACAACAGCAGATCATGTTTTCACACCTGAAGACGGACGCTTGTGTTGCCACCGAAACGTCGTGTTTTCTTTCATTTTATCATTTGATCTACCTACGGCACTTTACCGAAAGGTACCAGATAGTATAGATTCCTGCAGTCACGAAAGCTTTAAATCAAGATTGAACAATTCTAGATTTGAAGCTTTCGTGACTGCAAGGATTCATACTCTTAGTTTTTTTCGGTAAAGTCACGTAGGTAAAAAAATGAAATACAAATTAATAAAAAATAAAACAATTAAATCACGACGTTTCGGAGGCAACACAAGTCTCCGTCATCAGGTGGGACCGTCACAGCCAGATTGAACAACTCAAATCATTCAAAGTCATTGCTGAGCAGGGGATTGCTCCCATTGTTACTACCACCACCACCATCACGTGCACCACCACCACGTGCACCACCATCACCACCACCACCGTGTTCTCCCTCCGCAGCTCCATCCAAGCGATCCCACCAGGAGCGAGACTCGTTGTGCCGCCGTTGCGCGCGCTTGCATCGGCACGCGCTGGCCACCATCACCCTCGCCGTCCTCCGGTGACCCCCAGGGCAGTTCAGGGGCACCCGTGCGACACGTGTCTGTCCCGGGACGCAGCGCCAGGCGGGCCTGCGGCGATCGCGGTCGAGGTGCGGTCGAGTGCCGGCGGCCACGGCGAGGTTGGAGAGGAGTCGTGAAGGGGTGCAGTGGCCCGAGCACAGCACTTGCTTGAGCGGTCGCGCGCTGACGCATGTGCCCTCGGTCACGTGTCGAGCGATACGCACCTCTCGACACGTGGGTTCTTCTTCCCATTCTTCTCTTTCGCTGTCTGGGACGCGGGGGAGAAGGGGCGGTGACGACGAGGCGCTGCGGATTGTTCGAAATGCAGTTTGGGATGCAGTGCCGGATTATCGTAGTTGCACAAGTGGCTACACGTGTAGTAGTAGCTCGTAGCTACTACGACTAGCTACTACACTTGTAGCAGTAGCTAGTAGCTACTACTACACGTGTAGTAGCTACTACAAGTGGCTACATATGCAGTAGCTACTACACGTGCAGTAGCTACTACAGGTGTAGTAGTAGCTACTGCATATGTAGCCACTTGTAGTAGCTACTACACGTGTAGTAGCTACTGCATATGTAGCCACTTGTAGTAGCTACTACACGTGTAGTAGCTACTGCATATGTAGCCACTTGTAGTAGCTACTACACGTGTAATAGCTACTACATATGTTGTAGCTACTATATGTGCTGTAGCTATAGGCCCCGCACTTTCAAGGGCCCCGCGCTAAATGCTTTCAAGCTATCAATTCCGGTTCAGTGATTCTGCACCAGCTCTATTACTATAGTACCATGCCGCCTTCGACTTGTATGAACGACTGGGTGTTTAATGTTAACGATTTGTCGTATCATCTGGCTGTATAGCGAATGAAAAAATACAATTACTTTACTATGGAAGTAAAAAATGTGTGTTTTAATATTTATGTTTTTTTATATTTATGGCCCCTTTATAACATCATATGCTACAGGCCCCGCACTAGCTTAATCCGGTACTGCTGGGATGTTGTATGTGTGTTTTTTTAAACTTTTCTCTTGAATCGATGCAGCTTTTACCCCTTCTCTTGCTAGGAAGGATAAGAGACGAACCTTATTTTTTTTTCCCTCCACCCCCATCGTTTTTTGATGCTGTCAAAAAGGTCCCAACGATAGATTCGTCGCTGAAGTTACATGACACTTCCCAGAAGGCCATGCGGCCGCTGTCTTGTGAAAGGATTATTATATTCTTGGGTCTTTCGGTAAAGTCACGTAGATAGGTTCAAAGAAAATAACAAAAAACTACGACGTTTCGATCGCAACACAAGCGTTCGAAACATCGTAGTTTTTTGTCATTTTTTGTTATTTAGTTTGAACCAATCTACGTGACTTTACCGAAAGACCAAAACAATATGAATTCCTGCAGTCACGAAAGCTTTAAGTCAAGATTGAAAGGATTATTATTATTATTTACTTCGTGGAGAGATTAATTAACGGAGGAGAGACGCATAGTCTTCTTATTTGTTTTGTATATTCAAATTGTCCAACACATAAAGGAACGGCACCAGCAGTTATTTTGTGACGGTGTAGAGGGTCACTTGTAGAGAAATATTTCTTAAATTTGGCTTGATCACGTGGTTGAATGGCGCCTGTTGTTGTTGTTGGTGGTGGTGCAGGCTGCTCACGGCAACCTTAACACGATCAATATTAGTCATAATACACGGGGGGGTTGGGGGGGGGGCAGGTTAGATCGCGTACATATAAAATGTTTCCCAGATTATGGGAACCTCATTTGCCAGTAAAAATATGATAATTGGTTCTTTACCCTTCTATCTGGCAACAAAACTGACACCTTTTTACAAGGAGTCATGTTTGCATAGACCGCAATACCTGCAGTCATAATACAAACTAAAGAACATAACTCTGATAATGTGCACTGTCCCTGAAGTTGATTGGTCCACACCCGAGACAGCTTTCCTTAGAGCCTAGTCTCATATGGGTTGGACCAGATGACGCCAAAAGGCGTCAAAAGGCGTCATCTGGTCCAACCCATATGAGACTAGGCTCTAAGGAAAGCTGTATCGGGTGTGGACCAATCAACTTCAGGGACAGTGCACATTATCAGAGTTATGTTCTTTAGTTTGTATTATGACTGCAGGTATTGCGGTCTATGCAAACATGACTCCTTGTAAAAAGGTGTCAGTTTTGTTGCCAGATAGAAGGGTAAAGAACCAATTATCATGTTTCCCAGATGTTTTACTCAAATTGTAAATGTTGTGGGTTTACTCTCCAACAGAGCGGTGTGCTGAAGTAGCAGAGCTGTCAACCCATCATGGTGTACCCCGTGTTCTTGTACAGGGACATTGACTTCTCAAGTCCACACGGCGTACAACCGTTTAAATCCGGGCAACAAAAATGTGTCTACTTGTTTGTGCTTCTCTCTTGTGATGGGACTTTGTAGAATGAACGTTGAGATTTATAAGGGACACGGGGTGACCAGTGAGGTCTGACTTGGTCCGTTTAACACGTAGGCTGCCGAATTACCCGATGATGCTGGATGCAATTACCAGCGAAACGTCGTGCTACTCAAAAATTGTAAATGTTGTGGTTTCACGCTTCAACACACCGGTGGGCTAAAGCAGTGAACTATTTGTCTTTTGTCAACGTGACACTTTTTTTGCTGATTAGCCGTGTCGGGTGGTGGAGGATTACGACACATTTATAAATAACGCGATCTAAACCCAAAAAACGTTGATTATGAACTGACTTGGTCTGTAATAAGGTTGGAGCACTGATCAGGGTTTGACAGCTATAAAATAGCCACTAAATTGGCGTGTTTAGCTCACGCGCGTGACAAACCTTACTAATTGTCTGCGCCGGGTGGCGGTGGGCGAACGACACACCACGCAATGAACGCGATCCAACCCATGCAACCTCTGTGTCGCGATGAGCCTTCAACGCTTCACGTGGCCTCGGAGTGCACCTAGCCTGGCACAGGAGCCGTAGCGACGTGACGGCTTTTGCTGTTGGTGGCCGCAGCGGTGGTCACAGCGGCGAGCTCACCGCTGCCACCACGAACTGAGCGACACCACCACCACCAACCCCAGTTCGATTCCCACCCACAGCCACCGATACCACCGCTGAAGGTGATCTGAAGCGGGCCCGGGGACCTCCTCTAGGTCCACTCGGCCTCAAGTGAGTAGCTGCTGCGATGTGCGGTGAACATCGCCACTGGGGGGCCGGGGGGAGAGACAAAGGCGGCCGGGCGTGGTGTCGGCCACCCACCACCGCGTGTGCCGTGCCGGCCTTCATAGGTGCTCGCTAACAGCACTCGCCTCCAAATAGTCCATTGAGGCTATACGGGGGACCTTTGTCTTTTGTACAGTACACACACGATTGTCTGAACCGGTCCTGGGCATCACCTAGATCGACTCAGCCTCAAACGAGTACCTTCACAGGTGCTCGCTACTCGCTAACAGCACTTGCACCCAACACTTTTTAAAATCCTTTATATTAAGTTCGCTTGCTTGCGTGCTTGCTTGATTACAACCGTGCAAACCTTTCGGTCGTTTTTTAACCCACTTCCCGTGATCCAATCGAGCTGACATTTTGCACACAGACTCGTTGTGCGAGAAAATTAATGTTCGTGAAAAAAAATTACAAAATTTTACACTGTTTAGGGAAAACAAATTAAATATTTAATTACTAATTGTTTAATACTGCAGACAATCATCTGACCCATAGGTGGCAGCCATCTCAAGCCAGAGGACGAGAGGACTCAAACCGCCACGCATATAAAGGATTTATAGTGAAAAACTTTGTTTTTACTGGTTATACTTATTTAAATCCTTTATTAAATCCTTTATATTAAGTTCGCTTGCTTGCTTGCGTGCTTGCTTGCTTACGACCGTGCAAATCTTTTGGTCGTTTTTTAACCCACTTCCCGTGATCCAATCGAGCTGACATTTTCCACACAGACTCGTTGTGCGTGACAATTAATGTTCGTGAAAATTTTTTTCCAAAATTTTACACTTTTTAGGACAAAAATATTATATTTAATTACCAATTGCTTAATGCTGCCATGCAATCATCTGACCCATAGGTGGCAGCCATCTCAAGTCAGAGGACGAGAGGACTCTAGCCGCCACGCATATAAAGGATTTATAGTGAAAAATATTGTTTTTACGGGTTATACTTGTTTTGTTTTAAATTAAGGCTACACGGCGGGGGGAGGGAGTCGGAGTGAAATGTCACCTTGTGTTCGCGTGCGAGGCTGCTCAAGGGGCACCCTTTCATTTTACCTCGCGGATGAGACTCGGCTCCCGAGCCGGGCAGGTGGAGCAGCCGATGTCCAGCACGATTTGGCGAGAGTCGCATCGGCAGCTGACGCCGCTCGGAGGTTCCCTCCGTCTCGGGACCGCGTGCCCGTCCCCGCGACTCCGTGTCCCCGTTGCTCGAACCCGGGCGCGAACCGCGAACCGCGAGCAGCGCTGCGAGCAGAGTCAGGAGAGAGCAACGCAGCGGCATCTCGGCGGCGGTGGTGGTGGTCGTCTTCGTGCGCAGCGCACGTGGGGAGACAGGGAGAGCCACGTGCTGCGAGGAGGACGACCTCTTCCAGGATGGGACGGCGAATTATTGGGTTCGAGCGCTGCTGTGATCCCTTTTGCTAAGGATGCGGCACGGAGTAATCGATGTTTCACTCGAGGCCGAGGATGTTGAAGATGATGTGGTCACCCCCCCCGCCCCGCCCTCCCGCCCGCTTTCTGTCACTCCACTGCTCGACTGAATTCGCTGAGAGTTTTGAGTATTAATCACCGGGAGTAAAGCTAATTTAGAGCCTTCTTGGGGTGGACTCAAAATATCAGAATGTTCCGAGGAGTCGATGTTGTATTATCGATTTGTTCGTGCTAAATATCCGATGTCTCGATGGCCGTGCAGACGGACGCCTTTGGAATTTGCATCGTGAAGTCACGAGTCGGGTAACGAATGCGCATTGTAGTTGTGTAACAGAATACTCTGTAGAACGACTCAATGAACAATATCAATACTTGCTCTATGTGTATACAATACAGCCCATGCACACAGTGCAAGACATCAGATCTCTGTGTGTACAGAGGTATCTACGCAAACATCACTGCAGGCTGCCAACAATCAGTTCTCGCCGTTTAAGACGCAGTCGTACATTGACACAGTACTCTACGATACTATGTAGTACATGAACACCATTCTGAAGTCTACCATATACATAACAACACGACTCTATACTGATAAATATGTAGAACTACGAGTACAATACATCACTCACAGAACACACAGTACTGTCGAGTACTCGGAAGAACACACCACACTCGTCGCAATGCTACATGGAGGTCACACAGTACTCTCCAACAAAAATCTATACAAACCACAGCCTTTATCATGCATCGAACAGACACAAACGCTCTCTGTGTACGAGAGAGAACACGCACACAGTCACATACAATACACATCGAACATAGAACAACAATGCTGCTGCTGCTCCGACGACGACGACTCTGCAGTCTGACTAATGCAGGATACGCAGACGACACAAGAGACACACACACACAGAGAGTTTTCTCTTCGCTAGAATCACATCTCCCCCCCTCCACCCCACAGTGCCTACTGCCCCACCAAGACACCGGGGCTTGGCTGTATAAGGGGCCTCGTTAATTGCAGGGGTGGAGAATGGTTGCGGTTGGGTTCAGGGCTTTGCGAAGGGCAGAGTGGGCGAACGGGGGTGCGGTGGGGGGGGGTGAAGCGACGGCTCCGTGTGGAGTCGTGGGATTTTTTTCCTCCACAAGAATTGACTGCCCCGAGGTGGCGATTTTGGCTTTCAGCGGCCATGCGTGCCAATTACATGCCAGGGCGGTGAGACTGGTGTGTGTGTTGGGGGGGGGGGGGACTGGCCCATTGGAGCCTCGAGCCAGACATTCTTAATTTTAATGTAAACACTCATCAAGGAGCTAAGAACCATCGTCATGTGAGCTCTGGTCATCCTTGCAGCAGCAGCAGCAGCGGCGGTTTTTGGCTCGGCCATCGAACAAAGACGCGCTGTTTCACCGCATCGCACGGCGCTATCGGATGCGCTTCCGCGGCCGTCTGGAATGCTCTTGCTTCCGATATTAGGGAGTCACTGGGGCTGTGCAACTTTAAAATCATCATCTAGAATGAGAGCTCATTTCATGAGAACTATTTTCTGTGTTTAGTTTGTTGTCCTACCCCGCTCACGGTTTGCTACGTACGGTGCGAAAGAAGTTCAATGTGCATACATAGAGGAGATGCAGACGAGATATATAGAGATGGATGGAGTGAGATGAGAGACGGGTGATGTAGATACACGAGAGAGATGTAGACGAGAGACAGAGATGGAGTGAGATGAGAGGAGATCGACGCAGAGAAGAGAGACATGAGGACTATGCAATTGTATTTGTAATGCTGAATTGTACTCAGTCGGATTTGAATTCGGGCTCATGTTTGGTTCACCGTTATATTCGGGGCTGAAGCGTTTTGCGAAGTTTTCTTCTGCCCAGTGCCGCCAGTGAACCCAAGCTACTCCACAGAGGACAGGGGGCAATTTTTAGCGCAGCGATTTGAACCCCAACTCAAACAAGTATAACCCATAAAAACAAAGTTTTTCACTCTAAATCCTTTATATGTGTGGCGGCTAGAGTCCTCTCGTCCTCTGGCTTGAGATGGCTGCCACCTATGGGTCAGATGATTGTCTGCCAGTATTAAGCAATTGGTAATTAAATATTTAATTTGTTTTCCCTAAACAGTGTAAAATTTTGGAAAAAAATTTCACGAACATTAATTGTCTCGCACAACGAGTCTGTGTGCAAAATGTCAGCTCGATTGGATCACGGGAAGTGGGTTAAAAAACGACCGAAAGGTTTGCACGGTCGTAAGCAAGCAAGCAAGCACGCAAGCACGCAAGCAAGCAAGCGACTTAATATAAAGGATTTAAAAAATAGAAATCCATGTGGATACTATAAAGAGACTCCTCTACTTACGAACTAGTTAGGTTCCAGAGGTCTGTTCGTAAGTCGATGTGTTCGTAAGTCAAACTTTACTACCGTCGATTCCAAACATGTTTTACGGTGTGTACACTAAACACAGGAAATGGCTTTGAAAGTTGTGTAATCTCCTGTAGATGTTGATGCCACCGGTTCTTCGTGTTCTGCAGATGTAGATGCCTTCACCGCCATCTATTGCACGGTGGTTGAACGTACGACTCTTGGTCCGAACGAGCAACTGGACATATGGACAGGTTTGTTCGTATCTCTGAAAGTTCGTAAGTCGAATGTTCGCAAGTAGAGGAGTTCGTGTATATAACAAAAAAAGACTTTTCACGTTTGTCATTAATACTGTGGCCTTAAAATGAAAAATATATAATAGGCAACGTTTCGGGAAATGACCCTTCTTCATAGCATGCCCAGAGAGATGGCATAGATGATAATAATTGGAGACTACACCGAATACCATGGGACTCGACACAAATTAAATGTTTTAATGTTTCCTGTTGCACAGTTTTTAATGAGACGTATGAATCGTTACCTATTAGTGGCTATAGCGTAGCAGACAAATTCTTAAATAATCTGCGGACAATGGACAGCCGAGTGGCTCAGTCGGATCGCTGCTGAGATCCGATAATTGATTCTAGATTTGAAGCTTTCGTGACTGCAAGGATTCATACTCTTAGTTTTTTCGGTAAAGTCACGTAGGTAAAAAATGAAATAAAAATTAATGAAAATAAAAATAAAAATCACGACGTTTCGGACGCAACACAGCACAACACGAAAGCTTGTGTTGCCTCCGAAACGTCGTGATTTTATTCTTTAATTTTTAATACTTTTAATTTCATTTTTTTTACCTACGTGACTTTACCGAAAAAACTACGAGTATGAATCCTATAATTGAGTCCAGGCACTCACCCTGATTTAGCCGCCGGTTTCTCAAGCCTAACGAGTGGAATGTGTCAGCCCAGTGACAAACAATTTATCACCATAATTGTGGCCTGCCACTAAACTCGACACATTTCTGGCTGCGGCTGGGGTTCATGGAAATTAATTATTGGCTTCATTGTCACGTGACAAGCCACGCCGACATCGAGTGTTGGAACAGAAGCCATTTGATCGGACCTCCCATCTAGTTTCTGTGATATGACACGACAGTTTTCGTTGAACTCGGACCCAGTTAATCTTCTTGGTTATTTCGGTAAAGTCACGTAGAATGGAAATGATAAAATAATAAAATAAAACAATAATTCTCACGACGTTTCGGCCACAACGCAAGCAGCCGTCCTCAGGTGAAGACCAGGTCTGTCGGGGAGACAGATGAATCCCTGCAGTCACGAAAGCTTTAAATCGAAATTTAAAATCGGACCCAGTTCTTGCAGAAAGGGCCCCACGCCCTGTAAACATCGGACAATGTCACCAGCATTCGCTCAAGGAAGCGTGACTCTGCTGACGAGACGCCGCATGGCAAAACCGGTCCCGAGTTTGCTCGTATAAACAGGCGTTGTTGGGCTGTATCACGAAAGGGATTTTTTTACGTGGATGGACAAATATTACCTTGCAAGAGGTGCCTGTCTGACATGACGCAGGGTTGCAATGCTGTCCGCGGGACCTCAAAGTGTAGCTCCCCTTCTGCACGTGGCCTGGCGCCAATAGTACAATTGGAATATAATTGACGGGGGGTGGGTGGGTAAAAAGACAAACAACATTCACCGCCATCGCCCCACTGAGCAAATGGGACTGTGGGTAGCCAGTGTTTAGAGAAATGTGTGAGCAATTAGCTCATTAGACTCTGTCTCAGGCGATATATACCGTGCCCAGTGTACTCACGGTGTAAAGTGTAAGCGATGCCGTGGCATGCAAAATAGAGATATATGGAAATTTCCATTTGTCTGCTCAAACTAGTCATGGGTATGAATGCACGTGTGTTTAACTTCTTTCGCACCGTACGTAGCCAGCCGTGCTGATCGGAGGTGCGGGTGGTACTTGTTTCCTGTTTACACCACGGAGTCAGTTGTGGAAATTCCACATTCCCATGGCGAGAGTAGATAGGCAAAGCACGGTGCTGTAATTTGGACTTGGAACGCACACGCTGGTTTCTGCAAGTCATTCACATTGAAAGATATCATTGTTGTCGATCTGTATATGTGCTTTATAATGATTTGTGTATTCCCAGAAGTTTGACTATATCTCAAGGCTGCAGTCGGGAAACAGTGGCTCCAACGGCAGCTTTGTGAGCTCCAACACCAAAAGTGAAAAGAATGAAAGGGCCAGAACTTGTTTGTGGTGAGCAGGGACAACTCCAGATTCGAGCCCCACCACGAATAAAAAACAATCAGCCTCTAGCACTAACCCTAGCCCTAACAAATTAGTCAACCTGCCTCTAGCACTAGTTCAGGGGTGGGCAACCAAAATAACGAGAGTATTTTTTTCGAACTTGATAGATAACGCCTCGATATTTCTAGAGCCACAATGCAATGCGGTCACCAGACCGTTCTTAAAGAACCGCATGCTGCTCCGGAGCCATAGGTTACTGACCCCTGCCCATGGTAAACTGGACTTCTATGGTAAACTGGACTTCCATGGTAAACTGAACTCCTATGGTAAACTGGAC